TATTATTATTAACTACTTAATTCATTGACAAAACTTGAATGTTTATGAAAGCATTGTGACATAGTAGATGAGATGAAAATTATATAAAGTAACTATGATCTATGGCATTGTTAGATCATCCAACAGCCCAAAAATAATTTTTTATAGATTATTTCTTTTCTTTGCCATATTAATCAAAATTTAATTGAGTTGTTATCTATTAATTTAAAATTTTTGATTTAAAACTAATATAAAAAATTTAAACTATGCAACAGTAACTAATTTCTAATGGCCCAAACCTAAAACAACTTATTTCACCTTTTTTCCCAAAACTGTTAAAATGAATTAAATTGGGTATATTTGGTTAAAAATTTCTTATTTTATATTTTAAATTATATTATACTATAAAATAAAAATTATTAAATAAAAAATAACATCAAACATAAAAAAAAAAAAAATCACCTCACATCTAATAATAAATTTTATATAATTTAATTCAATTTATGTTGTAGGACTCATTTTTGTTTAGTTAATTAATCTTATAATTCAAAAACGACCTTTACTTCTTAAATGCAAGATAAAGGAGCCCGAAAAGGGTAAAATGCAATAAAACCTCAAAAGTGATTGTACAGTCGAAGCACAACTAACACAAGAACTTGCCCGGTCCCATTCAAATTTATTCACACCCATAGACAACATCAGTGATGATCGGATCAAAGATCAACGGTCACAAATTCAACACAGAGATACAGCAAAAAGAGAAGAAAATCCCTCACAATACACCGGATCGAAAATCTGCTCAGTAATCAGTGGTAGGCAGCTGCTCGTGGCCGAAGTGGCTGATGAAGAAGAACTCGTACACCACTCCGGCGAGCCCACCTCCGATCAGAGGCCCGGCCCAGTAGATCCAGTGGTTTTCCCAACTCCAGCTCACCAAGGCGGGCCCGAATGACACGGCCGGGTTCATGGATGCTCCGTCGAAGGCCCCGCCGGCTAGAATGTTGGCACCCACAATGAAACCGATTGCGATCGGAGCAATAATTCCGATTTTTCCCTTTTTGGGATCAATTGCGGTGGCGTAAACGGTGTAGACCAACCCGAAAGTCATCACGATCTCCAAAACGAACGCGTTCCATACACCCACGCCGGAGGAGAGTGAGAAAGCTGATGTAGTCTGCGAATCACCGTAACAAATCCGAATTACAATAAAAAAATAAATTCACTGTTTTGCTGTTCGGACGATTAAAATTTCAAAACAAAAATCATTGAACGGGAGGAAGCCGGCCAGACCAGGGAGGCAGCCGTCAAATGGTCAAAGCTGCTAATTAAACACTTTTTCAATAAAAAAATTCAGTAAATAACAGAAATAACTGACTTTCGAGGGAAGGATAAACTCACCATGCCGTTGGTGGAAAACTTGAGGAGCAAGCAAGCCACAACGGAACCGAGGAGTTGGGCGATCCAATAGAGGATGCCACGTAGGAGAGTGATGTTGCCACCGACGAAGGCTCCGAAGGTGACAGCCGGGTTGACGTGGCCACCGGAGATGTTGGCGGCGATGGAGACAGCGACGAAAAGACCAAAGCCGTGAGCAAGCGAAGCTTGGACCAGACCGGAAGGTGTAGTGGAGCCGTTGTCAGTTAGCTTGTTAAAGGCCATGCCGGAACCTTCTCCGGCGAAAACGAAGATCAGGGTGGAAATGAACTCAGCCAAGGCCGCCTTCAGGGCATCCGGCTGGGTGGCCTCTTCGGGCCGGCCTACGGCAACGTTTCTGAAAGGCATGGCGTTTACCTTCTGATCTACTGGAAGAAGCGCGGAGCAGTGTCTCTGCAAGTACTCTTCACCACTTCCCAGCTTACTCTTCTTATATTTGAAGAAAACGGTGTAGTGACCGGGTGTAGCCGGTTTCCGGTGACAATGTAGGGGGACAATATGTATTATTCTGCAAGGTGATTCGCTGAAATAATGATCTTATGGATTTTTTTGGAATTTTTGCTGAGCTTAACAACCGGTTACCCGCTATTTGAGTTCGCTTTTGTTTGAGAAACACTTTCTGATAATTTGTAGTTCTTATATATATATATATATATATATACAATTTTGACATTATTTACATGTATATATAGGGAGAGGAGAAATGAGTTTCATAAAACTCAAACATGTCACCACTTATGAAGGTGAACAGTTCTAATTTAAGATCTAATACTACTGAGCCCGGAACGGGTCATTCGCTTGTAGTTCTTTTATTCTTTTTACTATTTTAAAAAATATATAAAATATTAATTAAAATAACATAATAATGTACATTAGTTTTAATTTTTACTATAAAATTGTAATTTTAGTTTTAGAAATATTATTATTTTTAAAAATTAATTATTAAATTTAATATTTTATTGATATAAATAATATATGTCAATTTTTAAGTTAATTTAGTATATACAATAATTTGATTAAGAAATTTATATTTTTAACATATAATTAATAATGTTAATTTTTAAATAATCAATAATCTAATTTGATACATTTAATTAATATAAAATTAACATATATGGTTTATATAACTAAAATATGAAATCTAAGTATCCATTTTTAAAAACATTTATTAAAAATAATGTTTAAATTAAGACTCTAATTTTTGACTAAAATAAAGAGTAATATGTATTATTTTATTAAAATAAATATTAAGTATTTCCTTAATTCATTTTAATTATTATTTATAATTAAAAAATTAATATGACAAATTAAATTTTTAAAAAATAAATAAATGAAGCATATTTTACTTATTTTTATTTATTAAAAAAAGAATTTACCATCATTACTAGTAAGACATCTCAAGCTAAAGTATACCACTAGCACTGTAACACAACTATTCAAGCCGAGAATTTTATTCTTTCGAAAATCTAAATTTAAACTATTAATAATAATTAATCTTTACATTTATAAATTGTCCATACTCTCTTAAGCAGTGTTTAAAAAAATGTATATCACTCATAATTATACTCTTTTGGCATTAAGGCGTTTCGATCACATCCCAATATTGTCAAATTAAGAGCATATTTGATAAAATTTTGTAAGAATTTTTATTATTTTTATATTATTTATGAATAATAAATTTAAATTTTTATTAAAAATAAAATTTTAAAATTTTAAAATAAAATTTTATATTTATGAAATATAAATAACATCAAAAAAAAATTAAAACTCTTAAAAATTAACTCAAATATTCTTTTAATTTAAGCTAACCAGCCTCAGCAGGATAGTATCAGGCGGACAAACAATTGCCACGTGTGCTTATTGGATAAGAGCCACGTACGGTGAGGCCGAAATTGTATTGTCATCTTTCTCTCGTCTCTTGAAGGATCTAATGCTTTGGAAGCGCAATCATTTTCCCCAAATAACCTAAAAAATTCGTAAATGAAATAAAAAGAAAAAACATAAGCGACTGGGTCAATGTTTAAAATAAAGAGGAAAGATAACTCCATGTATATCGACTCACCGGAAGCATTTCCGTCCACCGGTTTCGTGCTGACAACTGGCAATAACTGAACGGCGGGCTATTATCAGAGTGGCTGGGTAGGCCACGAGTACTTTGATCGACGGCAAATATTAAATATTAAATATCGGATCACTTTTTTCTGATATTATCGGATCACATTTTTTGTTCTGTATGGAAAAGATTAGCGTTATCCATAAACGTGATGGTACGTGCCTACGTGGAGTAGGACGGTCGGGGCATGTCAATCCGTTTCTTTAAACTGTTGCATCTCCTTTTTTTTTTTTTCCTTTCTCTCTCTCCCTTTTTTAATCCTTCGTTTTGCAGCCGAGTCTATTGAATGATCAAGCTCAATACTCGTTATTAGGATCCTTCGTCGTTTAAATTTTTTTTACCTTTTTTTTATCTTTTAATAATTTATATTTTATAATTTAATATAATTTAAATTGAGAAGTATTAAAGAAATGAGAAGAAAGAAGAGGGGACATAATGGAAAGAAAATTATATTATTCTATTTTCTCCCATTTCCCTTCTCTTCCTTCCACTCTTTTGGATTAGTAATTTAATTAAAGAAAAAAAAATAAAAAAAGTAATTTTTTTCCTCCTTTTCCCTTTAATTTTTCTTTTTTATAATCAAATAAATAAATTTTACCCTTCTCTCTTCTTTTATTTCTTTTAAATCAAATATACCATTAATGTTTTATAATTTAATATATGTTTATAATTTTTATAAATAAATATTTTACAAATTAAATTATATACTAAAAGTATAGTTAAGCCTATCAATTTATTAAAATATTCATAATTTTATGTTATTTTTTAATAATAATTTAATAATATAATTTCAATACTTAAACTACACATTTAATGTGAAATCAAGCTTGTAAACATGAATAGCTTTTTGTTAAAAGAAGTATTGAAACAATAAACTTGTTATAGGTTCAAAAAAGAAGGATGACCATTTTATACATTTTTTTATCATGAGAATGGTACGCAATTGAGGGAAAAAGAAGAAAAAGGTACGCAATTTATGATAACTTGACAAAAGTATAACGATGAATATTTCAATTTTTTTAAAGGAAGAGCAATATTCATTTTCTTTTTTCTCTATTTCCATTGATAATTATTGGTTGATTACGTTTTATTACAACAAATCTTCCTAATATTCCCAAAAGATTTTCAACAGCTAGAGATGGAGATAATATGAGTGCAATGTACTCGGATAAAAAACCAGCTAGTGAGCTTATTTTTTTTTAAAGGAAATAAAAAAGTGCCAGTATATTATAGTTAATTTGGGTTATATCCCTGGCATATTCCCACTGATTATATTTTAGCAAACCACTTGGGCACCATAGGTTAGTAGAGCTCTATCGCTTAATATTGTCATTTAGTGACTCAATTTGTTAATCAAAAGGGTCCACTTAGGCCCCAGATGTGCCGAGACCTAGCATGGAAAAAAAGGGAAAAATGCCAAAAAAAGTGCTTCTATATATAGCTTAATGGCATTTGGTGACTCAGTTTGTTAATTAAAATAGAATAACCATTAAAGTGTTAAAGTTTTAAGTTAAAAGTATATATGGTATTCAAAGTTAAAGTGTATATGATTAGACTAGAAGATTCATGCTACTGGATGCAAATTCATCGTATATCTTTAATTTGGACTGTATCTATGATTAGATTATAGAGCTCAATGAAGAAACTTCTACCAAACTCTCCAAAGACGGATGTCCATTTCCTTATGCAGCAAATTATCCACTGCAATTATTCGCATTTCAATTTCCTAACTATTTCTCGCTGCAATTTCTTCAGTCCCCCACCTCACTCTTTCCCTGTTTTCTTTTCTTTGCTATTATTTGGGTTTAGAAAATCCAAAAATTTGTCCGAATTTATAAAAGTTTAACAATTATTGATTCGGTATCAAAATTTTTTTGTTTGTTTATCGAACATGTCTTCAAACATATTGTTTGGCCAGAACAGTTCGAGTCCTCAAACTTCTAATTTAAGACAAATAAACCCAATTTTGGCAGAGGAAGTACTCCTTAGATGAAGATTTTAAAATTAATCAATATTATTTCAATTTACAAAGGGATTTCTAATATAGTAGAAAGAATAAAACCCTTTAATAGTAAAATTGAGAGTTTTAATCTAATTTTGTGTGTGTTTTATATAGATTATTCTAATTAATTAAACAACAATAATGAGCAACATGAACTTAAGTTGAAAAAACGCAATCAAGGGGCATTTCTCAACGTAATTAATGCCGTTAGTTCAATGAAGCGAGTATAGGGTTCCTTATTGCAACAATATTGTATGGATGAAACAAAACTTTGAATACGTGATCAATAATAAAAGAACTTTGGGAATGAAGTTAGTATAACATTGAAAGTTTGAGAGTTGATTTGCAATTTATACTCCCCACCAAAAGTGGCGGGGAGGACGCGAGACTTTCTTAAAGAGGTTGGGGCCGGGGCACTCCGGGTATGGTCATGATTACCATAAAATTTTTAAAATTATATAAATGGTTAAATTTTTATTATAATTTAATTGTTAAAAATAATTAATAATTAATAAAATAATTAATCAAAATAAATAAATAATAATAAATTTAAAATAAAAAAATTTATCCATTTAAAAAAATTAATATAAGATAAATTTAAATTAAAAATAGTAATTATTTTAAAATAAAAGTATAAATTGCTATAAAATTATAATTAAAACATACGAGGTTAATAAAATAACATTTCACCATAACCACAGTCGGCACTGGAAAGAAAATGCACGTTACCCTTTAGGCTGGCAACCGCAATTGGGAAGACGCAATCAGTAATTGGGCCCACCATAACTAGTGGTGAGGGGCCACGTCCGTGCATGTGGGGTCCACTTTTGCGCATAAACCGGATCTTTGCGATCCCGGGTTCGGTTTGGACTCACTCACGACTCCGCGCCAAAAAGTCAACAGTCAATTCAGTTTGATTTTAGCTTAATTTGCTCTATTTTTCTGTTTTTTTTCCCCAACCTTTTCCCGTAGGTTATAATTCAGAAATATCAAAAGGAAATGAGTACAAAAAAAGAAAAACATGTTTGGTATAGACAGTTGTAGTTTTGGTCGATATTTTATTTGATTAAATTAAACGATTATGTTGTTTGTCAATTAATATGTGTGTATTTTAGTATTAATGTTTTAAAATAATTTTAAGAGAATATTTTTATCAATTTAATATATTTAAAGAAATTAAAATTTGCTGAAGACAAACTCAATAACTGAAT